TCGTAACGTTTTTACACATGACAGCATGACTGCTCTCCTGAGGGTTCGTCTGAGCGTTAATCCATACGTCCTGCTGCTGCGACAGGGAGACGAGCAGCAGGGAGACAAGACGGTGTTAATGAGAGCCAGATCTGACTTGGAGTCAGACAGAAGACAGAAGACAGTCCATCACGATGCCCCTGCAGAAAGAAAAGAGTTTGGCATGTTGCGCTAAAGATGGTTCAGTCCTCCCTCCTTCATAATAGCTGAGCTTTCCTCCAGTATTTTCTTGTTCTTTTGCCGCATTAGTACATAATATTTTCTTATCTATGTCACCCTAGAAGGCCTTCTCTAGGTATGTCAGAATGAGAATACCTTTATTAGTCCAACAGAGGGGAAATTTGCATTTGTTACAGCAAGAAAAGAGCCAAAGACATAAAGGTCACCTATTATGCAAAATCCACTTTTTCATGTCTTTTCTACATAAACATGTGTGCCCTCTGTGTAAAGAGATTCGCTCTCTTTTTGTCCTGATCCATTTATATAAAAACCTGTCTGAAAATGAGCTGATCAGATTTTGGCCACTTTATGATGTCATAACGTTTTTTTGGCTTGTGTAACCATTAGCCAATCACCAACCAAGGTGACACCCCCCCACCTTATCACCTGAATCTCCAAAATAGAGAAACAATACAAAAAATTACACATTACACAATTGACAAAATACACAACAGTTCTGAGATATAGCAGTCAGGTATATATTGCACAGTTATTAACGGCATATATATATATATATATTGCACATAATTGGTATGTGAACAGTAAACAGTTATTTCCTTTGGTAAGCTACATTCATGACCCTCATGGGACAAATTGATATAACTAAAGTGACAGGGTATATTTGCTTTGCATACTTTTGTAAGACTGCTAAAATTATATATAATGACAATATTTGTACCATTCTATACTGTGTTGTTTATTAGAGGTTTTTATTTTACACAGTACACTATATTGTTTTTTTGTACATTTAAGACGTACTATACTATGTTTTATTATTGTATATTTTAAACATACTAAGCTGTGTCACTTTTTTTGGAATATTTTCGACATTAAAATAATGCAAAAATGCATTAAAAGTTAGGGGAAAGAAGGTGGATGACTTTTTTGTAATTTTTTTCAACATGCTATATTATGACTTTTCCATCATTTTTTCAACAAACTAAGCCTGGTTTCTACACGTTATATCGTGCCTTATTTCGACATAAAATACCATGTTTTTTTATGCATTTAATGCATTTTTTCGACAGAGTATATTATGTTTTTAATAAAAAAATCGACAATGCTATGACTTTTTTTCGACATACTATGTGGTTTTTTCTAAAAAATATCGACATGCTATGCTATGACTTTTTTCCGACGGCTATGTAGATATAAAGAGACATTTTTTACAACACATTATACAATAACTTTTTTTGTACAACTATACTACGACACTTTTATTGACTCTCTTTCTATCAATTAATTTTATAAGTAGTTTTGATGACATATATTCTATATAGACTATATTATAATTTTGTATTTACATTATTATTTTATGTATATTTATTAATTAACATTGTTAAAGTCAATCTTCATTCTGTTTTTCTATGACAAAATCTTCTATGAACTTTTATCACATCTATATTTTGAACGTTGATGATTTATTTTGTGGCATATTAGAGTTTTCACTGTATGGCTTGTGTATGTCATGATTGAAAACATTTTTAGAGCCGTTCAAACAATGTTGAGCATGTTTTTTAAGCTGTTAAAGAACACCCGTTGCTTCTACAATACCAAATAGACAATTGTTGTGTTGTCAACCCACCTTTAAAAGCTGTAAAGCCGCCTCAACAGTGATTTTTGTAAAAATATATCAGGAATATAATTATTCACCAACCCTACATTCATGTCCAATACTCTGGTTAATACCTGCAAATTACAGACAATCAGAACAAATAATTAGATTCAGAATAAGAACCATAATACCAGGAAATTAGGTTTTGTGACTGTTGCTCCTTTTTAGAATCAAATAATGAAAGGATAATAAAAAACAGAAGGGCAGTGAGCGGGGCTTTTAGGAAGGCCACTTCACACCGTCCTTCTCCTGATGTAGCTATAAAAGGAATGTATATCTGCCATCTTTGTACATTCTTCTCAGAAAATATAGAATGTGTCAGCTCAGCCCCTTGAGAAGCTGATGTTTTTCCAGTGTAGGCACGAGGAAACAGCAGTGCTACAGCTCAGCACATGGTTGGACCACATGAAGGCATTATTACGCCATATTCCTCCGTTGTTGTTTGACTGAGACATATTTCCAGACGGCTGCGGCAGGAGATGAGGGATATGCTACGAGCGAAAGAGTCCTCGCTCTCGCTGCCAGCCCCCGACCCTTTCATAATCGCCCAGGAATCAGGCACATCCCAGTTCGAGCACTGGTAGAGTGAGTTACGGCTGCGGTGGTGTTTCCTGAGAAGCCTGCCAAAAAGATGATTTAGATAGATCACACGTCTGGGGTCTGAGGTTCCTCGGACACTGTTTAAACACAAGTCTTCATTCTGAGGACAGAGGAATGTGAAGGGTGCAGAGTGAAAAACCCATCACCTAACAGTGACATTTCCAACATGACAGACAATGTATGGCTCATCTCTGACCAAGACTTGGACATTTGAGCATAATCAAAAAGAAGACTTTTTCTTGATCATAATACAAGCTGGCACTTTGAGTTAAAGATTATACAGCATTACACCATGCAACAAACTCACTTGATTTCACTTAAAAAAGTCCTTTATTTAGTTTAATACATAGGGCGGTTTGTATTGAAATATGTATACATTCAGCTTTACAATTCATACAGGAATTTCCCCACCAAATTCCTGAAATACACACAATTTACAAGGTATACATGTTTCAACATATTTCTGAAGACATAAGACAGCTATACCGGTTAAATAAGTAAAAGCCACTTCCTTTTTGTTTAGTTATACCATTCATTTCCAATGGTATGCTATGTTTTACTTGCAGCTAAATATAAGTTAAAGTATTTATAGTAAAAAGCCTCTGAAGGCCATTCACTGGACAAACAAACAAATAAATGGCACGCAGAGTTTCCCATGCAATTAAACAATATTTTAAAAAAAATGGTGATAAGACCTGCTTTGTATCCATGTCTTTTTCACGATCCCTGTTTCACTTTCAGAACGGCGTTTCCCAGAAGACAGACCAGCACTCGAATACTACAAACATGGTGAGGGGTCGGGGGTACGTACATTTATAACTGCTTCTCAGATGCAAACACAGAGATAGGAGTACTGTAAAATCCATTAGCACTGGGAGCACACAGCGTTTTCTTTGATTTTCCAAATTCAGTGGAAACACCCTTATGACTCACTGCCCCGTTTAATATTGAACACTTTTCCTTTGTGTCTGTCCAGTCGGAGGGATCCATATGAAAAACCATAGGAGTGTTATTACTGATATTATCTGTCTGAGTGAGGAGGTGCCAGTAGGTCGCACTCCATTAAAGCAACTCGTTACAACAAAGGCGTGCAATTTTAAAGAGGTTCAGTCTTCTTCGGCACCCAGTGGAAAGCTCGCTGGTGCCAATCTCTTTGATTTATGCACTCTTCAAAAAAAAAAAAACACACCAAAAGTTTGAAGTCCCAAGTCAATAAAAAGTTGTAAAACGTCATTCCAGACAGTTGGTAACTCTATTAGGTTGTGAAGAAATGAGGCAGTTGTGTGAACAACACATGATACCAAGCCTTTAGCCTCTAGTGCTGAGCGGGAATACAAGACGGCTTGGCGTGATAAGCTTCTCCATAAGCAACAGCGTAATGTTCATAGAGTCTGGGGGCAGGATCAAGCACAGGACAAGGGGGGGGGAGTCGGCCCTGCTTTGATACAGATGTGCTTACTAAGGCGAGGTGCTCCGAGGACAATAAGCATGCTGTAGACAAGACAGAGTCAAATCTGTGTTTCCATTCTCATTCTCATTATCAGACTGCATCGAGCCATGAGCCTGACTCACTTTGGTTTCTACTAGGACTCATTTCACTGCCCTGCTTCATTTAAATCCAGTGGTGGAAAAAGTACTCAGATCCTATACTTTAGTCAGATTAGTAATACCACCGTTTAAAAATACTCCATTGGACGTAAGTAAGTCGTGAATTCAAAATGTTACTTTAGTAAAAGTAGAGAAATATCACCAGCAAAATGTACTTAGAGTAATTAAGGCGCTGATTTTGCAGATTGGCTCTCTTTTCTTATTACAGAGTATTATATTATTCTGTTTTAATAACTTATAAATACATTTAAGAGTTTTTTTTTTTGAGTTCTATCAAGTGGGTTAGTAGTTTATATAAATCATATAAACACGTCATGTTAATGTAACGAAGTTGAGTAGAAGAATACAGTTAAGTACAGAACTTGATTCAGTTCATTCCACCACTGTTTAAATCCTCTGTATGAAACGAGAATGGTTAACATTTTGACCAAGGACCAGAAACTGCACAAAAAAACGAACTCAAAACAAAACAGAGGAGAGAGACTCACTCAAATCCCATTGAGAGGAAGGCCGAGCTGAATTTGCATTTTTAGCGCAGCGTTGTTATTAGAAAGTGTGCAAAAGTCTGTGAGGACACAGGTAGTGTGTGTGTGTGTGTGTGTGTGTGTGTGTGTGTGTGTGGACGGGAGACCTCCACTGCCTTCATGTCTGAGGAGGGAGCTCAGCTCAGGACAGCACACAGTGGGGGGGGGGTTTGGCT